ATGACCAATCACTTGACAACGTGATCTCGCGAGAGTTACGGTTTACAAACACGTGACCTTGATTTGATCCCTGTAAATAGTGTGTTGGAATTAAGTTTAACGTTTTACTATGATTACTACCAACACAGATGAACTTTCATGATAATAGTTATTATGTTGTTGTTGTTTTTGACAGAAAACCTCCCAGACAGTGACATAGATGAGAAAGAACACGGCTGGTCCTCTCAGATCGTGTGGGGACAGCCGGACACGTCAGACTACGAGTCCGACATCAACGGACATGGCAAGCCTAGACCCGTGTCCCCGTCATTCATGCCTTTTCACCCGCAGGTTTGTTTGTTTGTTTATTTGTTTGTTTATTTATTTCGATCCCCATTAGTGTTTAAAAGCACTATTCTTCCTGGGGTCAATAAAATGAAACATAAATAACAAAACTTGTACATAATGATGATTACAAAATAATAAAGTAAGTTCAAAATCAATAGGTGGGATCTTGTTTGTTTGTTTGTTTGTTTGTGTTTACCTTGGTTGGTTGGTTGGTTCTTGTTTATCTAATGCATCGCACAAATGTTAAACATGTATACGAGTATAATATAAGAGGCAAGTTGATTTGGTATAATGCTTCATCTGGAAACTACACGTACGTCGCCATTTTTGTCTTATATGTGTCATTGCCCGCAGGCCACTTTGCTTACTGACAGCTATCCCTTAATTAAAAGTAGCTCCGTCGACTTCTTAGAAGTCGAAGCCCCTTTTTGTGCCAAGCAAACAAAAATTACATCGTTCCCATTTTTTTAGCTATTTGCTCAATTATGGATTATTAATATATTTGTTCAACCTTCATGACCACGTAGATTTCATAATGTTCAGGGTTTTTTTTGCCAAACTATCGCACCATGCACTGTTAGGGTTCCCAGAGGATGTCATCCATATCATCAAGTCATGATTATGGCCTTACTAAAGTGTACTTTTTCTCCGTTTCTTGCATGTAGGCACGTCTGGACTACAGCCAAATGATAGAAGACGATCTGGACATCCCCAAAAGTATGGACAGCGGGATTTTGTCCATCAAACCGGTAAACGAACAGTCACTACCGCTGACCGCTGCACCCCCGTCTCCAGAATACAGAGCCAAGCTGCGTTTCACTCTACACTCGCTGGACTTACTGTTCATAACAATACACGAGGTCAAAGACCTTCCACCAAGAATGGACGAAGCCGTGAACACATACGTAAAAGCCAGCCTAACTCTAGCGGAAGAGGCTAAGAGAAATAGCGGAGAATACAGCAAGGACTTGAGTAGGTTGCACAGACTGAGGTGGCAAACGGCTATACAGAAGAAGAGTCTGAACCCTGTGTACGAGGAGCGGTTCGAAGCGGATGTGCATGAGGACGAGATCGGGAAGTTCGTGCTGAACGTGGAGGTGTTCGAATACGACAGGTTCTCGCGAGACTACAGCATCGGGTCCCTGCACTTTCCGCTCAGGGGGTTGAGACTAGGGGATGGAAGAACGTTCTGGCAAGACCTGAAGCCAACCAAACAGGTTAGTTGATGGCCAGGGGAATTAATTTTTCTAAAAAGGGGGCCTGGCTCATAACTCAAGATGAGGTCATGATTACGTCATCAAAATTTGCATGAATTATTGTCTTGTACTAAGGTACTTACACCAAAAAAAATTCAAGACCATAGTGATACGTAACCCTAACTAGTATTTTTAAGACGTCCCCAAAGTCCTCAGACACCCTTCAATACCACCTTAAAGAGGTACTATGTAACATTTTTGCACCAATAATATAGTAAGTATTCTAATTCAAAGAAACATTCGAATTTAATTCCACATTTCAATATATTTGTGGAGTTATCTCACATGTTTGACATGTATAGTTGGTGCTAAAACAGCTCACACGTTGTGAGTTTACGGTGCCACCAGAAAATACCAAAATGTAAACAAACATGGCTGACAGCTTTTTTTTTCAACTTTTAAACTTTGTTGTTTATTCAGCCTTTTTAAATGCCCTTTTTAAAGCCTTTTGCTGTTTTTCTATCCCTTTTAAAGGCCTTTTCAAAGCCTTTTTAAAAACCTCGTAATATCTGTCCTTGGTGCTGAACGCGAAACACACACCATACAAGCATTTAAAGTTCCACACGTGTGTTCTACAGGATGGCCTTGGAGAAATCTTGTTCACCTTGAACTACCTTCCCACCGCGGAGAAACTCACCATCGTCGTCATCAAGGTCAAGGACATGGCGGCACACAAAGTGACTTCACAGTCAAAGTGTAAGTAAAGTTCATTAAAGTGAATATATAGGGATGCTATGATGCATGGTGTGTTACTTTTAAGAAGTTGCAATCACAGAAATGGTCTTACATGTCACTGAAGTAACACTAGAAAGGTAACATTTCCAAACCAAATTAAAAATATTTACCTTCAAATAAGGTTTGCTAGATGTTAATTCCCACTCAAACACAGTCATGTATATGGTCAGACAGGAGTCTAAATCCCTCCTGATATAAAATGCAACATAATGTAATCCAACACTGGTTACCATGGTGACAGACGTTTGGTCCCGGTCATTGACCTTATTAAGTTGTTTGGAACGGAAGAAGAAGAAACAAAGCAATTTGTTTTTCTTGGGTAAAAATAACAATAATACAAATGATATTGTAATAAAGATTAACGAAAGCCGCTTTGACTAACAGAAATACATTTCGAAAAGACCAAATGCTTAAATTTAGCCCTTACTTAATCATTTTTTACACTTTTTCTTGCAGCAATGTTCGTGAAGATTTGCTTAGTTCAACACTACAAGCAAGTCAAGAAGAAGACAAGACTTCACAAGATATCTCCAGAGATTGTCCTTAACGATAGCGTCTCGTTTGACCTTCCGCACGAACATTTGGACGACGTCCGCGCCATTTTGTTTTTGTGTATCCCACAATACACTTCTAGATCCGGGTCAATACGGTATGACGTGTTAGGTCAGGTGATGGTAGGTTCCAGTTGCCGGGGACCCGGAGGGGAACACTGGATACAGATGACGCGGTCACCTAGGCGACCAGTTGCAAGATGGCATTTGGTTACATGAGATGACAATTTCAGGGGTGCCAGGGTAAACAGTGCAATTTTACGGAATACAGTGCAATTTTACTAGTAGTATACACTGCAATTGCACGGAATACAGTACAATGGTATTAGTATACAGTGCAATTTTACGGAATACAGTGCAATCGCATTAGTATACAGTGCAGTTTTACTAGTATACAGTGTATGCTAATACGATTGCACTGTATTCCGTAAAATTGCACTGTATTTCGTAAAATTGCACTGTATTCCGTAAAATTGCACTGTATTCCGTAAAATTTCACTGTATATCCTCTGGCACCCCTGACTTTGCAAAAAAAGTTGTGGTATCCATTGCTTAACTAAACTTAAATTCGAACTTGAAAAACTACACTATGAATAATTGTAATGAATTTGTAAATATTGTCACATGCAACGGTGATTTGATAAATGATAATACAGAAAGTAGTAACGTAAAGCAGTTAGCGAACAGGTAGACTTTTTTGTTCAGATAGAAATGTGTAAATAGCTTGTACTATAAGCAACAGTGAACTAATGTCAGATGCTGAAGAAGGCGTAAACACTTGCAATTAAAGATGGCTACTAAAATTGATGAACTGTTTTTAAAGCCCACTACAAATGATCTGTGTGTTTGTGTGTATGTATGTGTGTGTCTCTGTGTGTGTGTGTGTGTGTGTGTGTGTGTGTGTGTGTGTGTGTGTGTGTGTGTGTGTGTGTGTGTTTGTGTGTGTGTGTGTGAACAACAGTAGGTCCAAATGACAGGTCTTCAGACGACAGTTATGGAACCCTCTGCTTTATTATCTCAGCTGTGTGTTAGCTTTACTGAATCATAGCATAACGCGAGTCATGGCACAATGGAAGTCGATGGAGTAGGGGATGTCGCGAGCAGAGGCGTTGGTCACCACAGGCGGGTCACGATGTGTTAGCTTTACTAAATCATAGCATAACGCGGCGTGCCCCTTCTACATATCGTACGCGCACGCCCTCTACCGAAATAGCACGTCCATTCATTGCGGGTAGATTATACCAATATATAAGCAAGTACAGGGGTGTTTGGTTGAAAATAGTTTTACTAACTAACTCTTATTCGATTTCTATTAGGTCGACTAGCTTAAGTCGTCTTGAGTTCTAGTTGCCTTGAAAAAGTTATGTGTAAAGCAGACCCTATTATACTGAACTGGCTTTGGGTTGGGCTTCTTAACGACGAATGAATAAAGATTCTATTCGTTAATTCAATCTCATCCATATAACCTCTGGTTGGTCAAATGTTGTACAGCCGGTGGGTCATTTGCATATCGAACAGGTGGAACACAGGTTTGAATATTCCGGATGAAACCACTGTTCCCATCTAAACGGGGGACGAGATTTCTTATTACTTTTTTGCAGCCTAGAATAATTATAGCGTTGTCATAAAACATATGTATGTACCAAAGAAAGCAAAATTGCAAAGTTGCAGGAAAGTGACCCTAACGTCCGTTGCATAGTCTGGGCGATTAAAACGAACCTCATTTTTAGTGTGACGTAAGCACTTATACCTGTAGACACAAAAGGGACAGTCCAAAATCAGCTCCGTTCGTGAACAAGAGGCAAGTGTTAGTACAAGCTACAAAGTGTTAAAGGTAAGACGTGCAGGTTAGTGTCTTCCTCTTTTTCCCCCTCATGGCAGCGCAAAAAGGCCCCGGCGTTTTATAACACTAACTCGTGCGCTTTTCTTGTATACATGTAATTCGTGCGTTGGCGTTGTATAAGTGTAATTCGTGGATTCCTGAGATTTTGAGGCTCGAAACACGCTGTCAGCTTGCGCTCAAGCTGGGGGTGGGGGACGAACTTGGAGACCCGGGCGCTGTATAGTATTAACTCGTGCGCTTTCATGTAGTCATGTAATTCGTGTGCTAACGTTCGTAATTCCTTTCTTGTGACTCGAAACGGGGCGTAGCGTGCACATTGGGCGAAAGCTGGTCGCGCAAAAGACCTTGTTTCTTGATTTGTTGTATGACTATGTGTTGAAAATGTGTCAGGAATTTTGTGAGTGCTACACAGAATTCCTCGCATGATATTGTCATGGTTAGTCTAGGTTTAGTGGTGTTATTTCACATGGCTTGGTTGTTTTTGTGTTGATTTGTATGTTGATATTGTGGTGATTCTATTGCTGTGGCTTATTCTATATGCTGCTTGCAGTGCGCGGATGTGAATCTTTTTCAGAAAGGTTCACATCAATATCTTTTCGTTGCTAAGTCAGTTTACTGGCTTAGCAACGAAAGGGGGCATCTCGCGACGTTGTTATAGTTGTAAAGCGTGCGTGGTATAGGTGTAAACGTTGTATAGTTTTAACCCGTGCGTTTTATAAAAGTAATTCGCGAGGGAAAAAAGTATCAGTGATGCCCACATGCAGCGCGGCGCGGTTTGACCACAACAAAAATCTTAACACTGCATCAACTGTGTCTTTCTTTCTGCAACCACTTGCACACACGTACACAAACACTATTGAATTCCTTGTGCTCTTAGCTTGGGAGCCATCTTAGTAAGATCGCTCCCATGCTCTTGGGCTTTTTATGGTAGTATGATAACCCATGTGAATTAACACCACTAAAATCCATAGAATTCCAAAGACCTACTTTTGTAGAATTCTATGGATTATTATTAGCATAGAGCATTTTATCTTAGTTCATTTTACAGTGTACTGACGATTTTTCTTCCTCATGAAAAAATGGGGGGTCTGTCCCCGCTTGTGTAGTTCTTATGGGGTTAGGGCCAACTCATGCCTTTTGCTTTTATATTGCCCCATTGGGGAAAGGTGGGTAGTATGGGTGATACGTGTTAGTATTAGTTTATAAATAATGTATATTTGATACCAAATGACCTATAAAAACTAGTTCAGAATTAATGATTATCTAAAACTTTTAAAAGATCGTTAATTTGTTAGGCTCGTACCGAACCCCCTGGGTGTCTTCTGGGGTAAGTTTTAGTTAGTTTCCCTATAGCTAGCGCCCCTCCCCTTGACTATATCGTAACTTTCTATTGCCTATATCTTCGCACACACGCGCACGCACACACTTCAAAACGTCTCTAAAATATATAATATTCCGATGCTGGAAATGTATATAAAGTGTCTGAATGTAAGAGGTATGCAAAAGTTAAAAAACTATTTTGCATATTTCATAAAAATTTAAAGTGTCTCTAAAATATGTAAAAGAAATGTTCGATTATTGAAGTGTGTAGTAAGTAAGTAAGTAATCTCAATAAAGTGTCCTATATACGATGTTTATTTGGTTGAGTGTTCTTTTCTTCGCCTTCACGCACGCACGCACACACAAGTGAAAAAAGTCAAAAACTTTGACATGTGACTTTGTTTTTAAACATATCGTATGGATTCTATGTAATGTTCCTAGTGTATTGTATATGTTCTAGTTTGTCTATCCAGTACAGGGTGCGGGCCGCAATGTTTAGAATCGCATCTTGTACTTATTGTTAACGTGTTTTTTTTCGTCCAACATTACAGTTACAGCATACACCTGAAGACTGAATTCGAAGTGTCCACAACGTGAAGACGTCTTCTTTATCGTCGAGAAGTTGAAGGAAGCAGCCACCGCAGCTCTGACCAGACTGCATGGAAACTGTGAACGCAGGAGTGAATGAATGAATGAATGAATAAATAAATAAACAAATTAGTGGATGCATATGTTGCTCCTTCTGTAAAGTACATGCTGTAGTTTGTCTTGCACAGGATTGGTCATAGTTGAATGTTGCCTGAATGTGCATGGGTGAACCAATGTGATTTTGCACAGCGTATCTAGCATTGATTATAACCTACACTTTCTTCTTTTCTTTACTTTTCTGACAACACAGTTCCGCCAACTGACTGAGAGGATATAGTTTCGTGACTTGTCGGGGGAAATCTGGTATAGCCACAGCTCCGATCGCGAAGACCAGCAGAAGCAAGTTGACTACAAGTTAGTACTGGGGCTTCTATTAGTAAATTATTGGGTCTTTTGACTCGAGGCGTGTTATGATTTTATTCGCGACTTAACAAGTAAGGGAGGGGCGCTTGAATAAGTCGTAAAATGGGGCTCCTTTTGTATTTCTTGAATCTGTCTCTGAATAGCCGGTAAAGCCACCCCTTGGCGCAACCCAGCTTCGCAGGCGCGCGGCGCGGCGATTTTGTGTGTCGATCTGTTTAAGAATTTGCAATTTCCATGTATGCTTCTTTCATAAACATACAATATGCATGGACGTAGTCATCTTTGAATTGTAATAACTTTTGGTTTTGCTAATGTTTGTGTTCAGAATTTGTAATGCCCATGCATGTATATATTTGCAAGTTGTGTAATGTTTGAGGTTCATAGTTTGTTGTGATCTTTTCAGTCTGATATCGATGTTTTTGTGCAGTATTCATGAATGCTTTTAAGTTTAACATATGTACAAAGGTGTAGATTCTGTGAAGTGATTTGTTTCTGTTATTCAGCTGTTCTGTTACACTTTTTGTGTGGCCTGTTTATCATTTATGTGAGATCAATAAGTATATAACCATGACTTAACATTAGTTTGCTGAATACACTTGTGGCTTTTATATTGGCATGAAGTTACATAAATAAGTAGGTGTTACGTTATAAGTACGAGAATACAGGGAAGGAAAACCCTGCACAGACACCCAGGGAAGACACCCCTGCACAGAAGTCCTAGGGAGTAAACCCTAGTCAAAAAAATCCAGGGGGGATGAAACACCCCTGTCAAAAAAGTCAACCCCGCGCCGAAGTTCGACGAGTCAACCAATACTACACAAGACACACACGGACAGTAGGACCGGTATTTCTATAGACGTTTATACGCAAATGTTATGTAGATTAGAATTCTATGATATATTATATGACGGTTGATTTAGACTGAACAGTTTTTGGAGTGTTTGAAAGACATGTATCTATGATTCTAGTCTGAATAGTCATGATATTGTGTTCTATTGTGTAATTCCTGGTTGTGTAAAAGAAAAAAATCCCAATAACATATATATAGCTATGTTTACCAAGCTGATGGACCTGTTACGTAGTTTATTTTATTGCACTTTCTCATAA